ATTTGGCATCCGAGCATGGTGTGAAGAGGGATATAAGGTATAGTCATACTAATTAAATAATTGTTTGGATTGTTGTTTTATTTGTCAACTTAGCAATCACATGATTAACTATCTCATGTACATTATTACATTTTAATATTTGGTTATTGAGACTTTTAAGTCTCATTCCCCGTGGTTATTAATTTTTCAGGAGCAAGTTCGGTCAGAGAAGTAAGGATGAAGATATATATATATATATATATATTGAGCATGTAGACTTTGTTTATTATTGTATTTTATATGCCAAGAGAATTCTATCTATCTCATGGCCCTAGGTATTTGTGAAGTAAAATTTTGATCAGTATGCCCCTATGTGATAGTTGTTGGTGGTAACCAGTGTTTGAAAAAATATAATTAGGCCTAAGTCGAATATCCATAGTAAAAGTATGGCTTGTGAAGTATTGCTCAATTGACCATGGCTTTGAAATTATAATAGGGGTATACACTTAAAGTATTTAATGATTGCTTTTCTTAAGTACTATAGTAAAGTAAATTTGTTATGTTTGAATCTTTCTATCATGATAGACCCTTTTATCATGGTGGACTATTTGTGAAATATTTTTATAATTCTTTTTCTATCATGGTAAGAGTTTAAAATTATTAAAATAGTTTATCAAACTATTAATTTGCTAAAAATAAGCATTAAAATTTAGGGTGTTATAGCATGGGATATATAATCCTTCTATTCCTTTTGCTATCAAATTTATTTATAAATTTTAGACTAGAGCAATTATAGTTATGAAGCCAAACAGGAGACATTTTGTCTCTAAGAGGCCTATTGTTATTCTCATTTATAGGCAAAATATTAATATTTTTAATTGCATAAATTATCACTATTATGACTGGAAATATCAAAACTAACACAAGAATAAGAAGGAATAGAAATTTTATTTGCTAGATTTCTAACAACGGGTTCAACTATTCTAGTATCATCATAGAAATTAGGAAAAATATTAGAATAATAGAGGAAAGGATCTTGGAAGCTTACCATATTTGAATTCTGATTAATAGTCTCTATATCTAAAAAAAAAATATTATTTTCTAAAAAAACAACATCTCAATTCACAAAAATATTGTTATTTTTGATATTATATAGAATGTATCCTTTTTTACTATTAGCATAACCCAAGAAAACATAAGCATTTTATCTAGGTTCAAATTTATCTGGTCTTCTTGGACTCTTAGCATAAGCAATACAACCAAACACCTTCAAGTTAGATAAATCATGTTCCTTTTTGAATAATATTTCAGAAGGAGTCTTATATTCCAAGATTTTAGAAGGTAGTCTATAATTAAATAGACTACAGTTTTGATTGCTTCCCCCTAAAATTTAATAGGAATATTAGCTCAAAAAATTAGACTTCTAGAAATCTCCAAAATATGTCTATATTTTCTTTTAACAACCCCATTTTGTTGGGGAGTATAAACATAGGTAGTTTCATGTAAAATACTATGTTCTAGAAAATAGGTAGACAGGTCATGATTAAGGAATTTTGAATCATTATCACTTACAAATTCTTTTGATTTTAACCTCAAACTAATTTCAATTGCTAGGAAGCTTCCTATTTGTTATGCAACAAATAAACCCAATTCATACGTAAAAAATCATCCACTATCATTAAGAAGAATTTGTATCCTTTATAGGCTGCCACTTTATATGGTCCCCAGACATCAATATGTAACAAATTAAAGAAAGATTTATATTTTATTCCATTAACAGGAAAAGTTAGTTGAGTTTGCTTTGACTTAAAACAAATATCACATTTAGAAAAATCAAAGGAAAGTAAACTGTTCTGCAATAAAGTAACATGTTTGAGTATAAAGCCTAAAGGATGCCCTAGTCTTAAGTGCCAAATGCTACTATCAAAAATGACATTTTTAGTGAAAGCATTAGAAAAATGGGAACTATCATCTACAACATATAACCCTAAGCTTAATTTACATCATAAGCATTTTGCCACTATAAAGCCCTTACAAGACACATATGTTAGGAAAAAAATGCAACCACACACTTATGTTCATCTGTAAGACAATACATAGATATTAGGTTGTAACATATTCTAGGGGCATGATAAACATTATTTAAAGTAATATCATCAAAAATTTTAATAGTCCCAGTATGTGTGACCAATAATTTTTTAGACTTAGGAATTTGATTTTAAGAAGAGGGCCGGTGTATTCTTCCAAGTGATCAAGATATGATAAATGACTACCAACATGACAAGTGGTCCCTAAATATAAAAGCCAATGTGCTTGATTTTTTTTATAGAAGATAATGTGAAAGAGTTCAAATTTGAGGGTTTCCCTTGATCTGTGAAGATAATCGTTCCTACGGATGATGTAGTGCTTAATAATGCCTTGATCTCCTTCTTCAAGTTGTCAATGATTCTTTCATATCCATTTAGTGAAAGTAATTGTGATTTAGATAAGGTGTGGCTTTGTTTTGAAGTATTGAAGGCGATAGTGCCTTTACCATAATTTTCTTTCTTGAATTGATTGTTGTGTCCTCTTCCTTCTTGAAAATTTAGAGGAAATCCAACAAGTTGAAATCAATTATCCCTACGTCCCCTCCTTTGTGGTAGTAGGTGCACTTATCATTGGATTGCCTCTAGATCTTCCTTAAACAAATATGCCATGACCTCTCACAGTCATCACAAATCCTTTAGATTGATTAAAAGAAGATGTGGAAATAGTTCATTGTGCCTCCTCTTAAGAAATAATTGAGTATGCTTGATTTATGGATGGTAATGGATTCATAAGAAGGATTTGACTATTGATGGATTGATACGAGTTGTTGAGCCCCATTAAAAATTGAAACAACTTTTGTTGTTGAACATTTTTTACATATTCCACAGATGAGTTGCATTTGCAAGTAGGTATAGGGATTATCATTCTCCCACAGCTCCTTGAGTCTTGTGAAATAGCTTGATATAGACAAATTTCCTTGAGTATATGAGTTTGTGAGGCGAGAAAGACTATATACCTTCATTCCGTTAGTTTAATCAAATTGTTCATGCAAGTCTTCTCATATGAAATAAGTACTTTCGAAGAATGTAATGCTCGTTGTGATTTCTTTGGAAATAGAGTTGATTAACCATGAAAGCATAAGGGTGTTACATCAATCCCATTGATCTCAAGATTCTCTTTTTGAGCGTCTCTCTTATAAGAATCATCGACCATGCAATTTTGTTATTTGCTTGTAAGGCCATTTGCATTGCACGACTCCAAATAACATAATTTGTGGCTTCGATGAGTGGTTGGGTATGAGAGTAACGGCTTGAGTGTTGGATGGTTGAAGATAGAATGGATGGGTTATATCAAGAGTGAAAGCTGAAGATCTGGTGCCTGTGGTTTTACCCATGATGAAAAGAGAAGAAAGATCATGGCGGAGAGTTGATAGAGAAGACGATGTTGAAGGTTGGGCAAGAAAAACAGAGATGAAAACAAGAAAGTGAAAAACAAAAAAGAAATTAGGGCAAAAAAACAATCGAGTTTCAAAAATGAAAATGGGTCACAGGAATCGAATTGGCTCGGTACTATATTGAAAATCTGAACTAAACTGAATAACATAATTTTATTTAATGAACTGTATGGCCATATTGAGTACATAACTTAGGCAATGCCTTATTGTTAAACTAAGAAAAGAACCTAGACTACCAAAAGGTTATATAGCCCTTAAAATAGAATCAAGAAAACAAGAAAGAATCAAAAATAAAACACACTTCTAAACTAATACATAATGGACCAAATACATCTAGGCCCATATTAAAAGAGCCCATAAAACTAAAACAAAAGCAAATTACTTTTAAACGTATGTCCCATCAATCCTCTTCAGAATTCTTTTTACATCTCGCTTTCCCGATGTTCTAGCAGACATGAGTAAAAAGCCTTTACCATGAAATTCTTTTTGTGCTTAAGATGCCAGCCACCTTTTTATTCCAAGTTATCCAATATTGTACAAGAAGAGAGAAGGTATTAAGATTTGAAGGTTTGGCAAGCTTGTGCCAAACATTACAGGTTTCTTTACAATAACACAAGATATGAATTGAGGAATTAGGAGAGTTACAATAAAAAGTGCAGGTTCATTGAAGTGGAGCACTTCTTTTGATATTTATGAAATCAATTTGTAGTCTATCTCAAGCAACTTTTTAAAGAAAATGCTTGATTTTTAATAAGTAGGTCACTTCTAAATTTTAAACCATATATCAATATTAGCTTGATCTTTTTGTAATCCCAAAGCTTTATAAGCATATTTGATAGAAAAGTTGGAAGATCTTATCTATTTGATTACATTAAGGTGAAAGTGACAACTTAGAACATTGAGATTCCATTCTCCTCAAAATGTGTGAAGATTCCAGGTTCTTATATGAAGAATAGGCCCAGCACTTGAAAATTATAATATTGACTTACTTGTTGCACATGTACATCCTAAGCCGTTGGTTTATATGTTCCGTTGTTGGTTTTTTTAACACATTGGCTAATCTAATCTCACAAACATGACATCATTATACAAGAAGTTATATTATAATTACCAATACAACAAATACTTTTTTATTGCTATTATTAATGGCATTTTGATAGATATTTTGAGAATACAATTAATATATTTATTTAAGATAATTGCATATTTTAAGACTCAATCATGTAACTAAAATAATTATTTTAATAAGGAGGTAATCAAATTTGTTAAGAAAACAGTCTTTTTTTAATTCGTTTATGAAACAGTGATGCAGAATTCCGATCCCATCTTGTTCTTTAACTTTTAACAATTTAAAAAAAGTCAAATAATTACTAAATAAGCTTGTTTAAAATTAAAAAAAAAAAAAGGCTAATGGCTTGTCAATGGCCTAGAAAGCTGTCTTCGATCCGATGTGGCAAGACGTGACGCCCGTTTTTTTAATTGGATGAGATTTCAAGTTCAAATTTTATTTAAAAATATAATTAGGGTCATTACTTTTTACAATCGCCGCTGGGAACTGGATTGTTATTGGAAGTTTCGCAGAAGGTGACAATCGAGATTGTCGGAGGGTTCTTCCTCTACGGCATTATATTGCAGCTTCTGTTGCATTTCCGACAAAGAGGAAAAAAAAAGATCTACTTGCATTTGTATATTTCCCTTCCCCTTGAAGCATTGATTGAATCTTTGTTGGTGGCGAACGAGTTCAACCTACGCCGGTTCAACTTTTGACCTTTCTGGGAATTGACGATTTTGATATCGGTCTGGCCCTGCTGAATTTTCGGTGTTCGGCGAGGTGCATCGTTTCTCTTTCACATTTCTGCCCTTGTTATCCTGAGTTGTTCACATTGTTTTTTCTTGTTCTTCTCTCTTTTTTTCGCCTGGAGTTGTTCATGTTGTCGAAGTTCTATTTGGATTCGGTTCCTGTATGCTCCTGTATATGTTACCATTGGCCTTAATGAGTGTAAGTAGATTCTGAAAACTTCCAATTTCGTTTCAGGGTTTAGTGGCTGTTGGGGCTTCTTTGAATGCTGGGTCCCTCAGTCTGCCTTTGCCCCTTTTGAATCTACGTCTGGGTTATTATTCATGATTGGTGACTGGCACGATAATGGCATGTTGGTTACTTTAGAAGATATGGAATCTGAGATGTCTAGTTTATGAAATACCAAAATTGAATTGAGGTTCTGGGAGAAATCGATTATCTTTTTCTTTAGTGATTGGAAGCATAGTGCAGCATAGCTGGAGCAATTTATGGAGCTAACTGATCATAGTGTTATTATGAATGGGGAGAGTGAGGCAATGGTCAATGGACCTTCTGCAAGCATGCCTCTAAGGCGGCGCCAAATCTATCCAACGTATCCTGTTGGCTTAGTGAAGAAGACAGCTTATATATTCGATGGCCTTGGGAATTTTTTTAATAAGGAATGGGATCTAGCAGACCTTGATCAAATCACAAAAAGAGAATCAAAGCTATTAGATGGGAGAGAGAATGAGTTTTCTTGGTACCATGTGGAGCTTCCAAAAGAAAATCAAAAGCTGTCACAGTCTGCGCAGGACTTAATTGGTGTTCTTTGCCCACCTTTGAAACTCCAGGACATTCTCTCACTTGTCAGCAATGGACCCTTCTGTGCACATGTTGATGGGGCTCTTGTATTCAGGGTTAATTCACCTGGCCCTCCCACCAGTGACTTTACATTTAGGATTGCTGCTAGAGTCACAGAAAATTCAGTAATTACTGTGTCTTTGGGGCGCGTTCCCCGATTAGGTTTTTCACGCATGGGAGAGTCTCTTCTTTCTGAGATTCCTAGTGTGGAAAGCCCCCCTCATTTTGGAGATCATCAGAAGCCGGGGAATGGGACTGTGATTAAGGAGCATGTTCTTGAATTCTTATTGACTATGAATCATTCTGAGGAAGCTGACAATCCAGTTCCAAGATCTGTCTCAAACCTTGTAGTTCATATAATTGACACCCATGTGGATCAGCTTCAAGATCTTGTAACTAAACTTGAGATGGAGTTGGACTCTGTGGAGCTTGCCTTGGATAAAGGTAATTATTGTCAATAACATCTTGATCGCAATCTCATTACCTTACAATAGAACAGAACGAGAACTTTCTTTGTGAATCTTCGTTGATGGAGAGACTTGCTAATACTGATTATCTTATGCTACCAATATGTAATTGCTGTACATTTCAGCAGATGTCTTAAGTCAACGTTTATGTCTTCTGTCCCTAACTTCATTTTTGGGTGTATTCTGCGTAATTCATTCCATATTTATATTTTTATTTATTTGGGAAGAAATGAATAAAAATTTAATAAACAAGGCTTGATAAAATGTATTCATCAAGATCTACTTAATATTTTAGCTCTAGCTAGGTATTTTAACCAAATCTTTTTTGCAAAAATGTTTTGACTTGAATTATTTTAGGAATCCATAGCGCCTTGGAATGGTGCTAAAAGAAACCTAAAACATTTGTAATTTCAAAGGTCTTACCATTTATTAGCAACTAGGCAGGCCTCCTTAAGGCTTTTTGTAACACAATATGTGATATATAGTTGTAATATTGAAAGGTTAGTAACTCTTTCTCTCTTCTCTGTTCTTTACTCTATCCCCTCCTATCTCTCTATATCAGAATTATACTGATATAACAATATGTTACAGAAAGAAGTTATGTTTGAATGGGTATTCAGTTAATAATTGTTTTTGCCAGCCAAAAGCCTAAACCAGGGAAGAATTCCTGGTTGAATTTCAAACTAATTAATTTTATTTAGGCATCAAAGATTCTGATGTGTTAGATGATCGAGATAGATGTTGTTTGGGGACAGAGGTATAGGATTAAGACACTAGCTGCAACATCCCAGTCAAGCATATGATTGTCACAAATTATACGGTTTTCTTGCCCCTCACAAAACATGTGGGAATCTGACATCCTGCTCATATTAGGTTTTCGCAACCTATATCTATAATCAAGAGCCATTTATATTGTAACTATTAATTGCTATACCAAACATGTGGATCTAATATATCCATACGCCTTATATCTTCGGATGTTTTATCCACATGATTGATTACCCAAGTTATCAGTGTTTCAAGCAGCTCCTAAGAATGTTCATTTATCATTTTGTTTTTGTGTGATTTACTATTTATCTTCAAGAATGTTTTGACAGGTTGCAAAATTATTGTCATCTTGAATGTCTTGGGTTTTGATTAACATAAACTCTGAACATTTTCTGTTTGCTTGCATTTTTCTTCCATGTCATTCAAGCGCACCCTCGTTAAAATTGTTTGGTGGAACTATATCTGAGATAAACTATTTTGCTTGATTGTAGGTGGTTTTGCTTTGAAGAAACAAATGCTAGATGATAGAAGATTTCCCAAACTGCATCTGGACTTGCAGCGTCTCCTTCAGGTGGCTCTTTATTCCCCTGAAGTTCTTTACAATTTTTTTTTTAATCTATTTTGCACACAAAAAATGACAGTGTTTCTGCCATGCTTTGATAGGCGTGTTAGAAATTCAATTGGTTATGGAGCATGCTTTTTTGTATTTGATGGGAAATGTGGGTTGTGGAGTGGGGGGAATAACGAGAATCTGCTTTCATTGTGAATAGGATAAGATGTTAGTAGTTTCCTATCTTAAATAATGTTGACATTAAAATTTTGCTTTGGGACACCTAAAAAAGTCTAGATTCATGGGAATGGACCCTTTCCCTGACCTGGGAGTGAAGAAATTTATTTGCTCTGCTTGATGGTAAGGAGGAATCTCGTGACTGGGACTATTACTATATGATTTCTTCCACTTCTAGTGACTGAGCTACTTTTTGGATTTGCCTTCTTGAATTTAATCAGGTGATTTCTCATGGGGAGCAAGTATTTTTACGAGTCAGAGAAAAATGCTCTTTAAAACCATGGTTTGCCAATGAAGACATTAGCTCTCTTGAAGAATTAATTGGAAGATTAAAGAGGTTGAAGGAGAATGTTGGATTTATAGTAAATCGTGTAACAGCAATTCAAGCAGGTCTTGACAGCTGGCAGTCTGAGCAAATAAACAGGAAACTTTACTATCTTTCATTCCTTTCAATCATATTCCTTCCATTATCCATCATTACAGGAGGTTGGCAATCTAGCCCTTCTTTTACTTCTATCATTCATATCCACAGGCAATAATATTGAATGATTTTGATTCCTGTGCCACTGTCGATACAGTTTTTGGCATGAATGTTGGAGGTGTTCCATGGACAGGCCAAAACAATCCCGAGCTTAAGGATGGCTTTCGCAACGTCATCCTACTGTGTGTTGTTATGCTACTACTTGTGCTACTCTGCTTCCTTTTCCCGGCTCTGTACACTCGTATAGCCGCATGGCGGAGAAAGAATGTTCTGGGAAGAAGCTGGTCAATTAATAGGAAGTCATTTCTTAGAAGACCTCTCCACATTGGAGATCAAGGGAGAGGAGGATACCTTCGGATCTGAAGATGGAAGGTTATCTTTTGTTCTCATGAAATAAATAATCATCCTGGTCACAAAATGTCTTCTGTTTTCAATAATGTCTCTCACTTGAGCGTGAGTGTCTCTATCACGGGTTTTCAATGACTATTGAAACGAAACAGAGATGAACTGATAATGAGCTGCCATGTATATCATATGAAAAAAATAAAACGGTTGCCACGTGTGGAAGAACCAGAAGCCTCAAAGATGGGGGATTTATGAAACATGAATTCTTTAGTTGATGAAAATCGAGACTTGTGACCAAGGTGAGCCTATTCATTCATTGTTTATTTCTTGTTTAGGGGGAGGGGGTTTATGGATACATCATCCCCCCTCCCCCGGCTTAAAACCTGGTAACATTTTTTCCCCCTTGTATAGCGCTATGTAATAGCTTTATCCAAGTCTCATCCAATGGAGAACTGTTTTTGTTTCCTTTTTTTTTGGGAAAAGTGAAACTGTATGTGTTTCTTGATACTGCTGTACAAATTTAATTTCCCATCTATATTGACTTTTTTTAGAGACGTCTGATTATCATTCCCAAGGTATTGTGCTGCTTTAGTAGTTTAACATGTGCTTGTGAAGAGGTTGATTATGAGACCGTACACATCAAAGTAACTAAGCAATAAAATTGAAGCAGAATGGAGGCAAGTTCATTTTGAAGATGAAGTAAACATTGTTGCATTGCATCCAAAATGACCTTTGGACAATATTAAAATTATTTATCTGAGAGGCACTTTTTTTTTTTTCCTTTTAAAAAAACTGAGATAAAGCAATGTGTAATCCTGTGATCAAAACTCAATATATCTGTTGCCTGCTTTTATGAGATTAAAAGTTTAAAACTAAAATGATATCTTCACTTCAATCATGTGAAGTATCCAAGTTCCAGCATGGATGTCGAGCAGAATTGTCATATGGGAATCTGCAAATATTTTGGTCTGTCGTCAAAATCATCTGATATCAAAATTATAGTGATCGTATGGTTGTGAAGTACTTAACTTGTCCTTGATTGTGCTGGTTTGAGAGAATCATCTTTCTTGTCAAACAGTCGATGGATAAATTTTGTTATTTCTTAATGCTAACAGTGAGACGTACCATCATGTTCTTACAAAGTACATTGTAGAAATAAATGTTTAACCGATTCACCCAAGCTCACAAGGAAGACAAACTGTTTTTTGGTGGATGCTTAGTTACTGATGCGAGCATCTCGTTAACAAATAATATTTCATAAGTAATTGTATTAATCATAATCTTTATCGATAATAATTGTTTATGTCAGTGAGCTTCGCAGTTTTGAGATCACGTAAGCCAATTCTTGATCCAATTCTCCTCCAATCTTATTTATATGAGAGATAGAGAAGGAATTTTTTTTTTAAATTTGTATTTATAAGTCATGCCACAAGTTTTCAATTACCCCTAATGAGATAAAGTGTGTTATTAAAATATGTATATTCAATAGAAGTAAAGTTAAAATTTAAACATAGTTAATGAGTTTTAATATTTTTGTGCAAAGTCAATGATTTAGAATACACTCATAAAATGCACAGGTCAACATTCTAATTAATATTGAAAGATACATAAGTAATAAAGCTTACAGCTAACAATAACATAAACCAGTTGTTGAGCTATATAGCACACATGAATATGTAAAATTTTGGGATCCACTAAAAGAGCCTATGAATATATATGATAACAACAATAAAAGGTCAGTGTAATTGTGTACGGATGTTTCTTATAGGCACAGCATAATACATAGCATCAACAATCGCAAATAATTGTTGGGTCGCAGCAGCACTCGTCCAAGAGGCAACAGCAACACAAAGCTGCTAGGCTGCACAACAATCAATAGGTACATAACATTAGTAAATTTTATCCACACAAGAAAAATTAGACAATTAATAAAATAATAATCAATAATAGTTCAATGAATTTTCTCTATGCTGGTTTGTGTGTGTGTGTGTGTGTGTCCTTTTAAATTACATACCAACCCTCAAGGAACCCACGCTCTGGATGATTTCTTGGCGGTGGTTGTGCAGCGTAATATTGCGGTGGTGCCGCCACTGGCGGTGGCCCCTGATAAGGACCTAAGAGCACAAACAAAATTATTTAGTACTGATATTGACAAATACAAATACAACAGATTCATACTGATTTCAAGTTCAAGTTATTAATGGTTTGATTAGAGCCAAAAAGATGGATTAGAACAGAAGGAAAACTCAGAAATGAAAGAAAAATCAAGAAGATAAAGTTTATTTTTTCAGAGAAAAGAGCTTTTTAGGTATACCTTGAGGAGGATAAGGGTAGCCATATTTCATATCACTCATGGCTGCAAGAAGAAACCAATGAATTGCAGAACTTGATGAGCTTGTTGGAAGAGACACAAGTTGCAGATGTGTCTATATATATAGAGCTTTCTGGAAAAGGAAGAGGGAATAGAATAAAAATGTAGAGGGATTGAACAAGAAAGATCTGGAATATTATACATGCTTGTGGAGTATATATGTGATTTCTTTAAGGTGTGATTGTAACTGGTGATTATTTATGACAGTTATCCTCCACCCACCATTCTGAAGAACATAAGGAATATTTCTCATTTTGACAATAATTAAGCAACTTTAAACGTGTATTCTGGAACAAGGCCAAGCAAAGAACATTATTACTTTTTTCAAAAAAAAAAAAATCAAAAAAGTTCATGGGAGATGAGTCTCGGAGCTCACTAGAGTTAAAGTATATTTTGATTCAAAGAATGCCTACAAAGATATTAATAAAGTCCTCATGTCTATAAGTGAGCTTTGAATTTACAACCTTGTAAATCAAATCTTTACTAACTAAAATAACTTTATTGGACATTCTTGCTCGACTTTGCAATTTTATATGGAGATTTGATTCTCATAGTATCCATGGAGCATTAATTACTAACAATCCATTGGTGTTGTGTTAGGTTATTTAAGTGTGAATGAACTTGAACTAATGTAAGAAGTCTCATATTGGATAAAGTTAAAGTTAATAACTAATATAAAATGAAAAAGGATAACCTATAAACTCAAGTTTTGATATTTGAAGTTAAAATATGGTGTTCTCTCGTTACTCATACATATTTATTCTTTTTCCTATTTATGTGCAGCTGCTTTCCATTCTTAACATGGTTCTTTATTAAAAGGATGGTTGATATGAGAGAAGTTGAAGAGGTGGGGTGTGAACAGAAAGAGAAGGGTCAAAAAAAGGAGACTCACACGAGGAGTTGTGACTTAGTGAGTAGGTAGAACAAGGTACCAATCTTAACCTATTGGCTTTTCAGCTTTGAGTTCGAATATGTTCCTTCCATCCACCGCCAAGTTTTACACTTAAAATCAAATATTGTGTCCCTCTGTGTCTCCAAGGAATCCACAACCCATAGCTTCACACACACCTCTCTATCACTTTATTTATATGTAAATGAAATTTACAGGAAACAACGCTATTTAACAGCTATAAATAGTGCAACTTGCTTTAAGGGGTGTTCACACTGGTGGAATACTAACTTAAATCAGGAATGCAAGATAATTTAAATTAAAAATTAAAATTTTTTTAAAAATAATAATTGCACTAAAATTAAAATTATTATAACATAAGTAGATTGACAATGATTTTTTCTTTAAAAATTATATCGAACAAGTTGATGTAATATTATGCAAATAAATTTTTCATGTCTTATCTTTATCATTAAAATATTATATATTTTTTTTTAAAAAACATAAGGCATTTTTAACTGAATCTCACCTTCAATAAAGTAGTTATCTACTTTCAAACTAACTCTGTTTTTTTATATTTATTCATATTATTAAATACCCTATAATAAATATAAAGTCATTATTAATAGGGGTACTTTTGAAAAAAAATAATTATTACACCTTGAAAGACTAAAAATAAATTATATTTTTAAATATTCAATTCCTCAAAAAATACCTTATATTTTTTAATGGAGGGAGTATATAATAAACTTTCAAGCCCAAATATTTTTTATTTAATCTAGGAATGCAAAATATCAAGAATAAGAAGTGTAAAGTTGTAAATTTTACATGCCTTATAATTTTTTTTCCAATGTTCTATATTTTTTCAGCTTTTCTAATGAGATTATGTGTAATCATTTTGTTAACTGTACAATATGCATATTAAACAAAGAGTATTTTTATGTATGAGCCTGCGAGCCGATCAAACTAGTTGCGAAGTTGAAAGTCAAGGCCCAAATCCAGTATTTTTTGGGCCAATTAAAGGCCGAAATTGTTTAAGCATTTGGCAACCTTGTATTCCAGTGTGATCCATGTTGTTCGAGTCTTGTCGTCAGCAATTTATTCTCAAGACAAATGGGTTCAGTGGCAGAAAACAGACTCAGTCACTCACATGTTCATCATTGCCATGTGAAATTCAACTTCCGGATAAGGGTGTGGAGATTTAGATTTCTGTTAATTATACAAAATTGGAAAAAGTTAATAAATATTAGATTGATAAATAGGATTATTTATTTATTTTTATTTTTTATATTATATTGAATATTTTTATATAATATTTTTTTCTTGAATTTTGATACTTTCACTTAAATTGCAAAAAGGTGTGTATAGTATAATTTTTATTTCGACAAATCTGATAAGTTTAAAAAATAAATAATAAATTTATGCCTTTTACTAAATTTACAAGAAATTTACATTTAATAATAGACGAGAACATTGAATAATTAAGATAAATGTCCAAAAATATATGTAATAATCCATAATCAATCATAAATTGTTATATAATTTTCATAAGAGGCCAGTGAATTATGAAAAGTGGTTGAATTTTTGGATATAATATAACTTATCTTGAACTGTATGCTTTGTTTGTTTATATTCTTTTTTCTTTGGAATATTTATTTTATTAGCGCTTATAATTTGTCACAACAATATACTCCAGGCACGTCGGATTACAAAAGTTAGGGTATAGAACTCAGAAGGCATTTGCGGCAATGATTTTGGATAGGAAATTATTCATGTTAACTTTATATATTTAAATTAAAGTACTCATATCTAATAAAATAAAGACACGTAATTTTTTTATGCATTATTTATTTTATAATAAATTATTGTTATTAATATTTTCAACATTTCTAATTTAAATAGGTAAAAGTATTGAGCATATAAAACTAATTATATACTCTCTCCATTAAAAAATGTAAGGTATTTTTTGAGGAGTTAGATATTAAAAAATATAAGATATTTTCGGTCTTTTGAGGTGTAATCATTATCTTTTTTCAAAAGTGCCTCTATTGATAATAACTTTATATTTATTGTAGAGTATTTAATAGGAGTAAATATGAAAAGATATGATTAATTTAAAAGTACGTAACTATTTTATTGGAGGATGACATTCGATTAAAAATACCTTATATTTTTTAATGGAGGGAGTGACTCTTTTTCTTTAGAATATACATGGGTCAACGTTTTAACTTACTATGACAATAAACAATAAAATGAGATCTAACAATGTGATTTATTTTCTTGTTAGCAGACATGGTTGATGTCAAGCCGACGCGACTCATAAAAAAAAAAAAAAAAAGATCTGCTTAGTCCTAAAAAAAATCCAATTCACTTAAATTTTTTATTTTCTTAAAAAAAAAACTAACAAAGTTTGAAGTTCCTCTATTAAAGAACATGCGCAGCATATTTTGATTACAAGTTGATAGTTTAAAAATTAAACATCTAATGATTACTTCACTAGTCACTAATATCTTACCCTGAAGCCCACTTAAGGGGAAAACTTTGGCTTTACTCTTCAATTACAATCCTTTTTCGCGTTAATTATGATGGGTTTCAGGGAAAGCACTAAAAGACGATATGAGTCTAAATTAGGTTGAAATATTATTAATCTTTGATTGCGAATGGCTTACGCAATTCATTAACAGACAAATTATATGGTTAAGACTTAAGATCATAAATAATACTGAACCGCATTGCCTTAGTGTAGAGCCTTCCCTTGTCAATTGCATTGACTTATTAGTTCATCACAATAATCGGTGAGATTTGTTTTGGCCAATCATAATTATTTGTGAGATTATCTAATTACCTGCTTTTGACTCAAGAAAAATGGCACTTTGCTTAGCCTTAAACCCAAACTTCACAGCTCACCTTTCCACTCGCATTTTACACAAATTTTTTACTCTCTCATCAATTTTGAATAAATGAATAAATTACACATTGAACTTATATTCAAAAAACTATAAACCTTGAACTTCTTTATTATATTAATTGTTGCCTTAACTTTTAAAAATAGTACAGTTTAGCCCCACCATTAATAAAAATAAATTTTAATCATTAGCTAACTAAAAAATTACATAAAAGAGTAAAAAAAATTTGATCATTTTCTGTAATTTTTTAGGTTCTTTCCTTACTATAATTTTTTGTAGAGTAGGAAATGAAGGCTCGAGACTCTATTTAAATAAGAGTCTAGACTTTAAAAATAAAATTTTTTTTTTTTTGGAATCAAACTTCTAGACTTGCTCTTATAGGCTTTGAAAAAAGATTTGGTTTGGATAACTCTTCAAGTCTTATTTTTCAAAAGATTTTTTGTCATTTATTTTAATATGACATTGATAGATTTTTTATTGATTTCTTAAACACGATCATTTTGTAAAGTTTATTTCTTGATTTTAATTAATGTTATACTCTATGGTGTATACAAATTTTTGTATTTATCAATTTTAATAAGGTTGATTTGAATTGAAAATTTCTACCTTTATTTTAAACTTGACCAAAATTTTATATTCAGATTTGTATTTATTTATTTTATTAAATTTTTTTTATTTTTTAAAAAATAAAATTAGTTTCTAGACTTGGCCTTAAACTGTTCAAATTAAATAAGGACTAGGTTTTTGAAACTAATTATTTTTTTAAAAAACCAAGTTTAAAGCCTGAATCCTTAAAATTTGAGCCTGTCCATTTTTCATCTCTAGTTTTTTAATTATTTTTAAATCAAAACTCCCCTAAGAATACCTTAAAATTTATAAGGGAGAAAGTACAAAAGTTGAAGTGTATAGGATGTTTACTGTCACGCTTTAAGACTTGAGGGCAAAAAATTAGTTGACAACATCTAATGTCGCCAAGACAAATAGACTAGACCACTAGGCCAAGTTACTAACCTCCTTAACCTTTTCTTCTTCTAGCCAAAAAAAAAAAAAAAAAAATCTTTTCCACATGATATTTGGACCTCTTGCACATTGCAAACTGTTAACTGCTAGCTGCAGTTGTGTCATTTCAATTATTAAGATGATATTTAGACGGCTTTAATTTCATCAATATTGTTATCATATTTTAGCATTTTTAAATATATACAGGTTATTTTGTCCCAAAAAATATATACAAATTATATTACGTGTCAGATTTTAAGTAAATTAACTTACTCCCTTCAGTAATATTTATAAATCATT